TTGTAAATCAACATCAGTCACCTACCACACACAGTTATATACATTATTATATTATTATGAGAACACATTTACACGTGCGAAGGGTTGATACTTGATACAATTGCAATCACAATACCCTTTTGAATGACGTCAAAAACCAATATCAGTGACAAAATTACGTGAAACCTTAATCTTGTGCGATAACTGTAATAATTGCATTGCTTGTCGAACAAATATTATGTCAGTTTCTACTTTATACTCTAAAAATAACTTTTTCAAATTATGCTCTCGGCAATTAAAGTCTGATAAAGTCTCAAAATTATAAATTATACTATTAAAAAATATTGAGATCAGAAGTCATCAGGAATGTTTTGAAAAGATAATTAAAGTACACGATTGTCAATTTTAATAAGAAATAGTTGCATATTACAACATAAATAAATAACTAACTTAATTTTCATTGTTAAAAATAAATAGACAAGAGAATTGGAATCAATTTGTCTAGGTATCACTGAAACAGTATATTTCATTACTCTGGTTTAAATGTCCCTTGAAAAACGTTGGGATTATTATTTCGAGAAAACCCATTAGTCCATAATAAGTGTCGAGAGTATATTAGCGAGTGCGTAAAAAGACAAAAGAGCATTAATACAATTGTTTGAAAAATATATTTATTATATAATATGAGTATGTGACCACACATAATCAAATGCATGTATTGGACACTTATATTATCGTATAATATGCAAGTATATACATATTTATATTGCAGTGTGGATGTTTAATTGTTTGAATAAACGGCCTTGTCCACCTAATAATTTTCATTAATCCCTTGTCCGTCAACATGGTCCAATGCAAACATTTCGAACTCCGCGGGGGCGGTGCAGTGGTTGTTTTCCCGGAGCTTGATGCGAAGGGTCGTAAAATTTGGCTGACAGAAGACATCGGTGAACGGTGGGGGGGAGTTGGGAGCCCGTTGGGAGGTTGTTGGGATTCAGTGTGGGCAGCGGACGAATACACTGTCCATTGAAATAATGACCGAAACGCAATAAAAAATAAATGCACGCATAAATAAAACAGTAATAACCTATACACGTCATATTTAAATTATATACAGGGTGATTCACCAAACATGTTCACTCCCCTCTTGTTCCTTAATCGTATTTCATTATGTGTATGTGTAATTTTGTATAGTCACTTTCAAAAATTCATATGTTTTGTGCAAATATGCAGTTAAGTAGTGTCCTGTTGCGAAAAAAAAAACTATTTTTACGGTAAACGTTTAGCGCAGATAATTGTTTAAAGATGTATTGATATACCTAATATTTAAGTTTGAATTGGAACGAGTAATTTCTGATTAATTTTCTATATTCATTAAATATTGTTAATTTCTAAAAAAATCACAAAACGCTTATTCAATGGATATTGTTCACAATATTAATTTTAAAATCACTTTAGCGACCCATCATGACGCTCCTTCACGGTATAACAAATCCAAGTACCGATATATACTTGTTCAAAAATATCGTGTCGTATGCCAGCTTGGAAAAAATGCTAAAATCGGAATTCAAAGTTAACGCACTATCATATTGTTACGCGTGCTTGGTGAATCACTCTGTATACCTATATGTATTTATTTACACTGACGCCGCAGCGTATTTTATAAACACTGACGGCCATAATGTCTCGTGTTGGCCGGCAGAGGGGGCGCTCGGACATTAATAAAATAATAACCACGTTCGTCACGTCTATTCGAATTGAAATATTCGATATTAATGTGCGTCCTCGTGTCAGGGTATAGTATTATACGCTTGTAAGTGTGTATATCGTACACGAGCTGTACACGTCGCCACCACGGCCCGGCACCGCGTAAATCCATAATAATAATATAATATAACGTGATACGAGAGGGTATTTATTATATTATGCGCCCGCGAAGGTTGAGCGGCGGCAACGATTCTATTCCTCTGCATCCGACCTCGCGGCGTGCCACTGCGGCGAGTGCCGACAATGCGGGGTCGTATTATGCAATAAAGGTTTCGACTTTCAAAAATGCCAGTTATTCTCGGAGATA